AACTGGGCGTCCCGCTAACGATGTCAAAGTTTCGTTGCCGGCTGTCGAGCGTGACGCCACGTGTTTCACTTCCGTTCGCCTTTCGTTCCTCTCCGACTCACTACTGTAACGAATCGATCTTTGACAAGTTCGCGGTGGAGACCGACTGGAAATGTCGACCTCCACAGCGTGGTACAACATGAGGGGAATACGTTAGAGCCTTCACCTCTTCTGTTCTTCTCGGGTCCTAATCTCTCCTTCCACTTTTCCAATTTACCACTCTGTAGTCGCATTATTTGTTTGAGTGTTCTGTGTCTTGCAGTATTGTTATCATCGGGGTTTGGTTGAGTCGAGTTCTACGGGCGGGGCGGGGGGAGGGGGCTGCGGTGGGTGGATTGATTGAATGAGAGACTGATTAAATTGGGTTTTTGTTTTTTATCGGATATTTATATGCAGTTTTGAAAATTGGGGTGATGTGACGGGAGAGGGTGCGAGTGAATGGTGGGGATGGGGGAGTCGCAGTTGTGGAGTTGGCGGTTTACTGGGGGGTGATGGGGAGTAATAAGAAAATGGGGATTGAAAGTTCGGAGTTGGTTAAATTCAGTGAGCGGAGACGAGTGATCGTGGGTTGAGTAAATTTTCGGGTTTAATGTTGTGATACGATATGAGTGAGAATGAGTGTATTTGCATTCTGGGACGAATTTGAGTGAAACAGATCTGAGTGAAACTGATCATAGACTTGAATCAAGTGTTGAGTGGAACTGGAAGTGAATCGGAGATGAAGCAGATGTGGACTTAACGCTTATTCAAGGGGAATTCGAGACCAGATTTGGGTAGATTACCAGCGGATTGGGAATCTGTTTGAATAGTCATGCAGAGGAAATGTAGTCGAACTGAATAACGATTTGAGTCAAATCGACAACAGTTTCGAATGGAAATAAACATGAGTTTGATCTGAAATGAATACTAATTTGGGTCAAGTTGAATATAAATGTGAAGCATGCCAACCACGAGTTTAAGTCAGTCGGAATATATGCCTGAGTCAAATTTAGAAATCGTTTGAGTCAAATTTTGGTCAAATAGAAGTGATTTGAGTCAAATCGATAACAGTTTCGAATGAAAATGAACATGAATTTGATCTGAAATAAATACTGATTTAAGTCAAACTCAACTCACATGAGTAGAATCGACCACTGACTTGACTTGACGGAAAATAAATTTGCCTTAGCTCCAGATATAGCCTCGACTGATCATTGTAAACAGATTTGAGTCAACTCAGACATGAATCATGTCAGATATTGATTTAAGACGGACAGAAAATAAACTCAACTTAAGCCGGATACAAATTTGACTTATACCATTGAAAACTGATTTTTGTTAAACGAGATTCGGGTCATATCGAATACTGATTCAAGTTGAAACGAAGATAAATTTGACTTAAACGGGGTACAAACTTGATTCACCATGGAAGACAGATTCGACTGACTTGAATCAGACTCAACCCAAATACGAGTGAAATCAAATACCAAAAGCCGATATTTTGTGAACTATTCGTCGAGGATTCAAATCCCGACATGAGTTATATTGAGATTAGAATCCGGTTCTTTTTCTCATTCACCAGCGCTCGCTGTCAAGGAAAGTTCTCACCGATAAGAGTGAATTTAAGGAGTTATTGGGCAGGCGGAATTTATAGGTAAATCAATGGAGCCGAACAAATTGATATCATTGGTTATACAGCCGTGCAATGACAGCTTTTAAGAGATACCTAGGTAGCAGGAAGTTATTGGCACAGTGTCGTTGCACACTCGACTCGAGGATTTCCGTCATTGTTATTTACGCAGTATTGCATTTGAGAGTGATCCCGGGTATTGGTGGTGTTGTGGTAAGTGGCGAGTGTCATTGTAAACATCGTTCTTGAGATATTCTATCTGTCGGTCTTGTTATCCCGCCCCAACCTTTTTCACCAAGTCCAAATCCACTTACTTGAGGTCTCTTTCCCATCATTTTGAGGGAATACGTCTGTTGGAGGAGTCCGTCAGGAAACGGGGATGGTTTCAACACAATCAGCTGAAGGTTGGGGTTGGGTTCTGTTGGTAAACGACTTGGAGATAGGTATTGTCCCGGTGTGCTGAGACAAATTGCTGGGGTACTCGTTGGGTTGTGAAGTAGATTAGGGAAATGCTGAGACATGTTTGATCATTGTCAATTCAATCAAGTGTTGTAAGCTTACTTGGTATAATTTCTTATACATCTTTTAGTGATTCAATTGGTCAATGGAGGTGTATCAGCAATTTATTTTAAAAAATTTCCGAAAAAAAGAACATTCTGATAGACAGTTTTTCATCGAGGTTTTCTTCAACATGAACATAGAAGGATTGTTGTTACGATAACTCCCAAAATTTAGGACCCAAAATCAAATTATTCGAAGAAAAAAAGAGTTTTTAAATTAAAAAGGTTTGCGTTATTAAATTAAGAAAATTCTAATTGGATAAAATTCAGGAATGATTGAACATTAATCGAGGCAAGGTGTTGAGTGCTATGAGAGAGGATTCATGACCTTGAATAGATTGATTTAAAAACAGGAAAAGTGACCAATTCAGGAAATCCCAAAATTCTTATTTTGAAAAAAACAATCCCTTAAAAAAAGCAAAAATGTGCCTCAATTTAACTCCACATCTACTAGGCTGAAGTGAAAATTAACGACAACGTGAAGTTTTCCCTCTATCAAATTAAATGAACCGAACTTTTTTCATCGAGACAATTCGCGCGGATTTCCGACGAAATTCCTGCCCTGAAATAATTTTCTCCAGTTCGAATCTGTCATGTAGTTATAATGCTATTGACAACGTAACATACTGCAATTAAACGTACCTAAAAAACATGCCAGCACAGCATGCATGATAAATTGCGTCAATGTAGAGCTCACTGAAGTCAACAAGACTCTATTTGAAGCTAAACAAGGATGAATGTTGAATAAAACGGAAGGGAATGGGTACTTGTCATGAAGCCGTATAAACACTGATAGATGAGAAGCACCATCGGACTCTAGATAAGACGTTGCACACGCGTCCAGCAGTCATACAATAAATAACAACCGTCAACACGATGAACAGGCGCATAAACTAAAAACACACGTGTTCGTGTGGGATCAGTTACTCATGCGCAGCCCAGTGAATGAATATTTGACTATCAGTTTGTTTGGTGGAAACTGGCTATTTTATCAACTTCCCGACCCGTAGGGAGAGAGTTATCGTAATATCTCCGAAAATCGAATGCGTGTAGTTCATCATATCGTCGACATATATTTTATCACGTCATATTTCATATTTTTCTTCAATACATAAACAGTACGGAACTGAATTCGATGTCAGATGCATATTCAAACCTCCCGTTTATCGAGCTAATTTTCATCAAAAATTCTGAAATTTTTACCGAAGGAGATAGGAGGAGCGAGAGGAGCGAGCGGGGTCGACGCCCCTCGGGATTGGCGAGCGAAGCGAGCGGGGGGCGACGCCCTCCGGGATTGGCGAGCGAAGCGAGCAGGGGGCGGAACCCCCTAGTCATCAACAATTGATCGATTGTTGAAAATCAATGATACTTCCCTGAAAATCGAAACTTTTTTTCTCCGCTGGGCTCAAGAGATTGTTTTTGTCATGTTCGATCATCTTTCCTGTCAGTGTAATATTTTTCATACCTTTGGGAAACGTCAATCCCACGATGTGCCTCATGCAGAATGACAATGAGAGGCGTTCGCTTCAGACCTGAAGGATTCGGAGAAAAACAATTCTCCTCCCAACAAGGCATTCTCCCAACAGTTTTTACGATTTTAGCAATTAAATGATCAAGAACATCCGGACGAGAAAAAAATGGAGACTATTTCAATTCTTAACAAATGATGTACTCCGCGTAATATCGTCAATAGCCACTTCAACAAATCATTTCCCAACTACCGAGAAATACTTCAACAATTAAAGATGCCCATTACTCGAGAATGTTTCTCTCCGTGCAAATCAGTCACCTAAAAAATGCTGTTGTGTCGCTGTTGGAAGCGAGACAAAGCGTCCGAGAGGGGAAATCCTTGCATCAAATCGACGAATACCTTGCGTTCTTCGTTATGCTGAGAGAATTGTTGTCTCAAAATTACATGTCAATTTCGTGATGAAATTGACACGTAATTTCGCCCCCCGATTTTTTAAAATTTGATTTGATGAGATTTTTTTTGGGAAATGATATTTATAAATTTTTTTAGTTCTTTAGTTCAAGATCTTTGAAATCTCCAAATAATTTTTTTTTATGAATATGATCAGAGCGTACACAACTCCATATCGACAAACAGGGCCTTGTTCCCGCGACCGCCACATTTGCCCATCGAAAATCATTTTCCCCGGAGCCTTCACGGAGCAGAGGCCCACACATAAAATTAACGAAATGATCCCCGTTGGCTCCTACATAACCTCTCCCCGCCCACCAGAGATCCCCCTCGCCTCAATCAATCTCACTCCACTATAAACTATAAACCCCCAAAAGCACACATCCCCCATTGAAAACGCAAAAAAAATATTCAATCAGTCGCAAAGTTGCTGCGTCAATCAATCATCAATGTCTGCATTATATGCTAGGAGGGATATCCAATGGCCGGTTGAATTCTCCTCAACGAAAGAGAGCCCACCCCAGCATATCTATACGTACATATGTAACACATAACCCCGAGGGCTGGAGACGATATTGCACAGTTTGTGAGACTGTGGGGGGTTGAAACAGCGTCGGCGCCGAATTGTGGCCCACCGCCTCGGCCGGAGTCGACGCATTGCAAGCTCGCGAACGGACTTGCGGCGGGCACTCAGTAGTGACTCGAGCGTCGTATACGAAACTCAAAAACTCGGTCGACTTTTTCACGCTCAAATTTTTTTTATCGTCGCGGTATAAAACAACTGTCCCCATCAGCCCCCGTAATCACCTTATTTTCAAATTTTCCAGTTTTCCCGCCCCTCCAGTCCCGCCAACCAAACAATTAAAAACTGATTCGCCGATTGCAATTGACAATCGCAAACTGTAAATTGAAAATCCCCGAGTTTCAGCGCCAGTTCTAGAGTAGAAAAAGCTCCCGATGCGAGCCCTCAACCGCGAGAGTTCAAACTGTTGGAATTTAAAAAAAGGCGCGCACAGTGGAGAGGCGATATAAGTAACCAAGTGAAGTGCCAGTGCTTTGACGTTTATTCAATAGAATAAATTGAAGGGAGATAAATAGTCAGGGGGAAGGGAGTTTAAAAGTTTTCGTCGAGTGGTACTCCTTTCCCCTCACGTCCCCCCCACCGTTGGGCCGGTGGTGCGCGCCCTTGAGTGTTTTATTGCATAAACTATGATCCTGTGATTCGACGTGTTTATACAAAACCCGTTTACACGGTAGTCCAGAGGTGCACCGACAGGCGGTTGCACCGTTGCTCATATAGCGAAATAAATAATAAAAATAAATAAATAAACAGGAGGAGAAATCATGAAAAGCACCGCGAGACGCCGGAACTCGCGATCCCTTGATCTATCGCTTCTCATTCTTGCTGTTGCAACCGGTAAGATTCCTTTATGCGCGTTGATCATCGTAGTGTGTGGATACACGTATTTTATCTAATCTCAGATTAAAGTGACACGACAATGTGGGAACGTTTTTTCAATTATTTATTACAGATAATTTTACAGGAATTTCACTGGAATTTTTTGGGGACAAGTTTCCTTTTTGGAAGCTGATGATTATTATTCAGGTGAAAATTAAGAAAAGGAGGGCCCGTTCTGCCCCAGTGGGTTTGTAAATGTCACAGAAATAAATTTCATCGGCTCTATTTAAAATTTTTCCTCCGTATTTCAAAAAATTATTGAATTAAATTTATTTGAATTAATTCTCAGTTTTCTCGAATGAATGATGGTTCCCTCTTAGAATCATCAGTCGATCACATTTTTCGTCGAAATAAAATAAAAGCGTTGTGAATTAGTTCGCGGGATGAACCAGAAAGAGTGAATTTGTATTCGACAATGTAGAAATATTTTTATAAATTAGTTATTACAGATAATTTTACATTAATTTCACTGGAGTTTTTGGGGACAAGTTTCCTTTTTGGAAGTTGATGATTAAAATTTACGTGAAAATTAACAAATAGTGGAGTCGCTCTGCACCAGTGGCTTTGTAAATTTTCACAGAAATAAATTTCATCTGCACCATTAAAATTTTTTCCTTCGTATTTCGAAAACCATTGAATTGAATTTATTTGAATTAATTATCAGTTTTCTCGAATGAATGATGGTTTCCTCTTAGAATCATCAGTTGATCACATTTTTCATTGAAATAAAATTAAAACCGTTGTGAATTGAAACCGTTAGTTCGCGGGATGAACCAGAAAGAGTGAGTTTGTATTCGACGATGTAGAAATATTTTTATAAATTAGTTATTACAAATAATTTTACACAAATTTTCAGGAGTTTTAACCTTAAAGTTTTCTTTTTGGAACTTGATAAATAAAATTTACATTTTACATTAGCATTTTTTTTAATTTTATTTTTATTTTTGTTATTTATCAAGTTCCTCTTACCGTCATCAGTTAATCAAATTTTTCATTGAACTAAAATAAAAAGCGTTGCGAGCTAGTTCGCGAGACGAACCAGAAAGAGTGAATTTGTCGGTTGAATCAGGGAAACCTCAGAAAAGTGAAAAGCATTAAAGCGAGTATGGGATCCGAGTGTAGAAACTTTTCGGCTTTATCCCCATTGGAATTTTCCTATACCTCGTAGGAACTCTCCGAGCCATGTGCACATAGGAACTTTAGCCGAGAGAAGTCTTCGCGACTTTCCCAACGGGCAAAAGAGAGCGGAAAAACTTGCACCGCGGACTCGTCTCGCCCGTAGAAACCATGGCACCAGTTGGAATCTGGCAGGACTCAATACACTATTTTCCGACTGGTACATCGGATGAAATAGAACGAAAGGTTAAAGCGAAACATAAAACACGGAAGTAACGTATAACGACTCTCCTGCCCCTCGAATTGAAATCTCCTCTGTGTGTGCGCGCTTCCGTTTCATCCCAAGCATTGAGAGTTTAGAGACGGCTTTGATAAGTGAAAGAGCGGGATAAATCTCTCTACAATCTCGACATCAAAGTTATTTTCCATCGTAAATGTAAAATTAATCATCCCCATACTTCTCCACTTTTGGCCTATCCTTTGGCGTATGAAAACCGTTTGGGAATTCGTAATTTCCCCGGCCCGCGTAATCGACTCCGCGAGAGGTTACGCGCGGTTTTAATGCAGCGTTGGGATGAAGAGGTGCGGCTGCATCCCCGGATCTAAGAATTTACATTACACCCTCGTTGCTGATAGAAATTCAGCAGCGAAGCGGTGAACCGGCTCAGTCGATTTGGCCCTTAGCTGAGGTTTCGAGGAATATCTCCGAAACTAAGGGAGATGGCGAAACTTTTGTAATAACCTTTTTTGTAGAGCGAATTCAGGGCTATAAAAAAGGCTCTGACAAAAATTTTGGTATCTTAAGAATTGACTCTGTCGTAGCACGAGTTGATGTGAATGGGATTTTTCTCTCTTATTATTCAATAAATCACTCTTCATTGGTGTCCATAACTTTTCTTATTAACTAAAATAATAACTCCAATCGTACTTCACTCTTGATAGACTCTCGGGACTATCAAAATGATTAAAATGTGATAGCTCGCACGTCAGTTTTCCGGATCGGCTACTCGTGATTTCCTCATGCACCCGTCATTTTTTTTTCGTTTTCCCATACTCATAGTTTAGACATTCTCATCCATTTTTACTCATCCTCTTTTCCTCTCGGCTCGTCGCCTCGTTAGAGGATAACCCGCGAGGGGTATCGCGATATTAATCAGCGCCACCGTTAGAAAAAGCTTTTCACTATCGCGCGCGCGTCTTCTCCCGCGAGATTTATACAAGGCCATAATTAAAGTGTCACGGGTAGAAGTAATGCTGCTAGTGAGTTTAAAAAAAGTTGGAGAGAGTGAGGGGTTATAAAAAAAAAATGCAAATAAAAGGGAGGCAAACGCCCGCCGGTAACCGAGGGACTCTTTTGTTCTCCATGTACCGAGTTTTTTTGTTGTGAGAAATTGAGTAATTAAGCATTCCAACTATTCTGCCCCTCCTTATGGTATATTTATCCTGATATAGCCAGTTAATGGGGCTTTTTCGTGCGTCAACCGTCAGCAGCACAACGGGCCGGCAATTTGATTTTATTGTTTCCGAATGGAAGCTTTGTAAGCGTTCAAATTTGTGTTTCCCATTTTTTGTGTTATATGGACCCATTATGATCCCAAAAGTCCGAAAATGCAACAGTTAGACCTCGTCCGTACGTGTGTGTATCGCCAATAATTAAAATTCAATTCACCGATTAGTTTTTTTAATTTTCGATTTTTTTAGAAAAGCGATTGTCCCACGATAACTGAAAAAATGTTCAGAATTGATTGAATGGCGGCTTAAAAATTTGTTTGGATGTCCTTTTGACCGAGTGCGAAGATGAAGGCGATGGCAATAATCGTTATTTTAATTTATTTGGAAAGTTGCAAAAATTTGTTTTTTGAAAATCAGAATTGCGGGGATATCTTTGAATATCATGCCTCAAATGAATTCAATCATAGCTTAAAATGTTTGTTTCTATGCCATCAAGTCGAAGTTGAAAGATGATTACGATAGCTACATTGGTTGATTTGATTTTTATGATAATTGTTGAAAATTTCGAATTTTTCATGAATTTCCCTGAAAGTGAGCTTTTTGATCGTTTCTTCAAATGTGATGTTTCAAATTCAATCAAGTATGTATAAATAAAACTTTTCTATTAATATTTTATCGAAGGGCTGAGGGGAGAGATAGAACCGTAAAAAAGACAATCGGTTGTAGAGAAGAAAGGCATAATAAGAATAATGATGATGATGGAATCCCATTCAATTTAATAAAATGAAATAAACAATGAATTATACATGATGGAAGGGAATGATGTGCAAAATAATCATTCGGAAGCATATTGGTAATTTTTATGAATTATTAAAATTAATTTAATATACATAATAATTAAATAATTAAATAAAATAATAATTGATTATGTATAATAGTCGATGGAATGGTCATACATTTCATTCTACCTCGTTCGTCCCCAATTTCAAAGTAAAAGTTATCGTCAGTTATCAAAAATCATTGATCATCGCATCGAATTTAAGAACAAGTTCAGTAACAATAAATTGACAAAATCATGGTAATATCCGTACCACTCAGCGTAGTCCATCGTATTCATTTATTCTTCCATTCAATTACGGTTCGTATTCATTAAATTCTTAACACACGTATTTATTATCCACTCGATGGGGCTTTTTCCTGCGTCAACTGTCATGAGCACAACGTGCCAACAATTTCGTATGATATCACATACATTATATAAAACACTTTTCATTTTTACCTCAATGTTGGCGGTGCCTAATATTTTTTCATTGCTTTTTATTCACTTTTTGCACGACGATGAAATATCGCGAGTGCGCGACGAGAGAATTTCAATTCGTACCCAGTGCTACCACGGTACCATAGAGGGAATCNCGTGTCCAACTTTCCTGGTCTCCCCCCCCCCACCTTTGGGAGGAGGGAGAGGGGTTTCGTTGCTCTATGTGTGCCGTCGGTAGAAAAGCTGAAATTACGTGATTCACTTGGTAGTCTCAGTCGGTGAGGTCTTGATTTTCTAGTAACGAGTCTTACCGAGCTTTGTTACCTCTCCCCGTGTGTTGGATGGTAAAGAATATTCAGCATTCTCGGTAGAAACCGCGAGAGTTCAAGTGAAGTACGACCTTTTAACAGGTGCATCCCAAGATTTCTCGGGAGTTGAAACTTAGCCATTTGGGGAAATTATTTTCACCGAGTCGCGCTTAACGATGAGAATGGGTGGTACACGGGGAGAAAGATTCAATCAAAGTTACCGGAAATAATGTAAAGATCACGTTTCGAAATGTAATCCGCGAGCGAAGTAAAATTCAATAAAAAGTGAGTCGGAACTGAAATTGTAGGAATCGTCACGTTAATTCTAGGATTTGTTCCGTAAAAATTAAGCAGTTGTCTGGCGACTCACCGCTGTGGGGGCAACAAGTCGTTCCGCAATTTTTCCCCAACGATTGAGAAATTTTACGGAACGGAATGTAGAAATAACTCACCAGCTTCATAAAAATTGTTGAACGTTCAAGAATTTTTGTTTTTGGAGGCATAAGTCGGCAAGTTTCTGTAAGATTTTACTTCGTCGGGAAAAATTACGTGACAATTTCGTACTTTGTTCGGTGATGAACCTGAAAATTCACTGAACGTTTCAGATTTCTTCTCTTCCATTCCTATAAAAATTGCCGGAAAACGATTCCCCATCGCGGATTACGTGAATCGTTCCGTCATTTTTACTGAATATTTCTCTCCGTGTAAAACTTTGAGAAGCGAAGAAATCGGATATGAATAATTGGGAATATATTTCTGAAAATCAGTGACAAGTCCCTAGCAATTGGGGAAGGACCCCTGAAAATCAAAACTTTTTTTACTGC